TGCAAGCACACAATATCATAAAATGACAAAATACAAATGTGTACTTCAAAAAGTCTGTATAGTTTCTGGGTCATTATTTCAAACTTGTGTCCTACTTTCCCAGCATTTTTGTTGCCTGGTACCTTATTCATGCTTCCTTGCCAATTTTAAAGCCTTCAATACAGTGTACATGCCATCTGATGTCACTGCAGTTGTAAATGTAATATGGGATTTCTGCAAACATTTCATAAATAGATTGGTGGGGTTTCTTCCTGATATTTTGAATTCCATGCTAGTGTACTTATTTTAAATCATGAGAATGTAGTGTTGAGAATAAAGTTAGCTGTATCATACATACATTTAACCCTAGTCTTTCAGTTTCACTAATTTTATTTTGCACTCATATTACAATATAAATGACTTTGTCTGGTTTTCTGTCATTAATTAAGACGTGCACTGAAATATTGCATTTTAATCAAATTAACAGTTTATAAAAGAATAACAAAAATTTCAATTATGATTTTGTCAGATTTTATTATTATGTTATCATTGTTCAAATTCAAACTTTAAGTCCAATTTTCCTTCATTTAATTCTGAATAATCATGTTAAACACTAGTCTTTCTTTTGGGTTAAATAATTTATCAATATAATTTACAATATACTTTTCTAGTTTCACTTTGTATCACTTTGACAGGCTATGCAGTATTTAATAGGCTTGCCTCCTCCTAAACAAAAAAGTGGAAATTAACCAAACTTAACACACAAGGATACTTCACTTTATATATATATATATATATATATATATATATATATATATATATATATATATATATATATATATATATATATTCCCCATTAGAAGGGAAGTCCAAGTTTCCTCTTGCCCTTCCCACCTCATTTTTTTAAATTTATTTTGACAACATACCCCAGCCAAAATATCATCAATCGGGAGGGAAAGGTCAGAGAAAACGCAGGACTAGAGGATTATTAGAGTGTCAAGGTTCACATATAAAAAATACTGAAACTAAATTTTCTTCTAAATGGATACATTACTGAGATTAATTTTTTTTTTACTTTAAATCCGTGATAAATTATCTTCTTGTAATAAACACGATCTAAAATATGAACCAAACTTTGTAAGTCAGGTGAGGAAATAAGAAAGGAGCCAAGTGTTTGAAATAGCTTGTTTACTTGCAGTCTCAATACCACACTTGCCTTGAAATCTATGACTGTTTTGATTGCTTCGCCACTTTTTTCAACATAACTCTCGTTAAACGAAGTTATATAACTTAAGTATGTGTCGGGAATTTGTAAAGTTATTGCAAGAAAAAAGCTAAAGTAAGTAACGAGAATTTGTGCATTTTGACAGTTCATCTTCATTTAGTTAACTACTAAACCTATAGATGCAACCAACTATACTCGCGCTCTGGTCCATTATGAATCGTACCGCACCTCCGGTCTTCAAAGGAATTTACCTGGCACGGTTGCTATTTAGAGTATTTAATCCTTTCAATCCTTTCAAATTTTAAACCAAACCTTGTACTGTACCCAAACTTTTTGAATGTAGCAAAATAAACTTGCCAAAGGCGAGTGCATTGTTAAATGAATGCAAGTAGAATATATGCTTTATCATTTTTTTTAATTACATGATTCACAAACCAAAAATATCATCTGAATAAAAATGGATTATATTATTGTTGTAACATTCATAATAAAGCATTATTCAAAACGTCAATGCTTAGACTATATTTACAAGAGCAAGTAAAAGACATTATTATTATTATTATTATTATTGTTGTTGTTGTTGTTGTTGTTGTTGTTGTTGTTGTTTTTGTATAGAAAACATATAAAAACATGCGTATCCGTGCAGAATAAGTAATAATATATTCAGATGATAATATAAATAATATTGTAAAACAGTGATTGATATTTTTGTCGTAATTTTAAATAAAAGAAATGCAGCCATATTGGAAGTAAATATTTTAATAATAACGATTTATATATTTATCACAAATTGCTCATACATTAAGGACCTATTTGTATTGTATTTGGAACATCAATAATAATAATAATAATAATAATAATAATAATAATAATAATAATAATAATAATAATAATAATAATAATAATAATAATAATAATAATAATAATGACTATATTACAACTTTTTTAATGTTAATCAAATTGTTGTTATGCTAAATGCCATCGAATATGAATTAAACATTTCTATGGTGAAGACAAAAAAAACTCTGCTCATTCTGCGTTATTTTTTAATGTTCTGCATATAAAATAAAAATGGTGCAATTCTATTAGCTATGTATATTGCATATATTTATATTACTTATTTAGGATTTAGAGAATGACATACATGTGTTTTAGATTTTTTCTGTAGTTTTGTATCCCTTGATTATAGTTACAGCTATTAAACGGTAGGCATCTTGAATCTGTATACAGCATCAATTCACGTAAAACTCGTGCACCTTACAATAAAACTATCAGCCATTTTTTTACAGTATTGTTTCCTTTTTATATTTTTATATATAATTTTGTTAAAATGGATAATATGGTCATCTTATTATTTTCATTATTACTTGAAATGAGGTAAAAGCACAAACATTTTAAATGCTACTTAATAATAATTTTTGGAAACATTTTGTAAGGTCTTTTTATTCAAAATGCATTATTCTGGATTATGTGGCTTGTAATTTAAACATTATAAAGTCTATATTCAACTTGCACTATATTTTTGATTCTGAGAATCTTTTCATTGTAGTTTTATCTTTTTGTTTTAATGTTACCGACTACGGTGACTGGTATATTGTACGCTGTATTCAGTACAAATCTACCAACTTTAATTTTGTAACTGGGATAGCATCAGCGTAAAAGCATACACCATTACTACCTGACTTATAAAACCAATAAAATGCAATGTTGTATACTTACTGTTCCTTTGTATCCAACTGTATAAGTACATGACCAACAAGTAGTTCTCGGCTTTTTTTTTTCTTTCTTTTTTATTTCTGACATTAATGACGGAGACCAACCATGCTTGGCACTATTCGTGCTGGAGTTTTCAGCCTTTGGCTTGCTTCCATGCATACTTCAGCGATTTTAAAATTGTTTAAGGTCAGTCAATGTTCTTTTTTTGGCATGGATTAATACTAAAAAAAAAAATGTTAATGTTCGGAAACATTTAATGCCACAGTCAAAAGAAAAGAATTTTACTTACCATCTGCGGATACTGGTCAGTCAAGATAAATTGATTAATTACTAGCAAGTAGCTGATAGTCCGACAGAATTTGTGCGGGGAATACAGCACAAATAAAACCAAGCATTGTTTGTCTAGCCATAAGCAATGTCATTAAAAGAATACGAACGAAATAATTCGGAAAGGTAAAATATCAAAACTAAATTTCAATAAAAGTATGGAACAAATGAAACTGCACAATTTTTATTTACAAATGGCGTTAATGATAAGAATTTATATAATGAACTTATAGATTTTATTAACTCAGTAATGAAAACTATTCGTGATTATAAATAGTAAATTGCACAAAATGTATATGCCTGTGGGGTCTTCATTCATACATAACGTTTCTATCAGCTATCTGTTTTCTCTATGCACACATTAAAAATAATAAGGGTCCTAAGATAGGGAGGCCGGTATCGATCTTATTTCACAATCTGTCTCCTGAATCAAAGGAACCATTATAATTAAACAGACTATGATAATTTGACATATCTAATCAGCTCGCACAAAAACACAAAGGCAGGCACATCAAATAAAACACTCCTATAGCAAACATAGGGCAAGACGGATCCCTAACAAGGATCACTAAAATGTAAATGAACTTTGACTCCAGCCCGAGAAAAATAGCACGTATATTATACTAGTTTAGGAATGCGTATAAACCCTAATCCAAAATTATAATTCATAAATCGTAATAAAAAAAAAACATAAGCACATACACTTTGACACAATACAAATATACATAATAACTTTTTTATTTTAGAATTAGGGGATCCCTTAGATCAGTAACAATCGTGTGAGGCATTAATTTCATTTCCGATCAACAGATCCGCCAAAGTGATAGGAGTTCCAAAGTAACATTTGACGGGATACGCGTGAATGAAAACGTCATATTATTGTGACAATTTCCCTTGCACTGGATTTATGTGCTGTATTTTCCGTGCACTGGATTTATGCGCTGTTTGTCTAGAATGTGTAGGACTCTTATTATCGTGTGTAACAGTTTTTGTAGTCTTAACACTTTTTATACACAGTGTTCTGGGTTTGTGTAAAAACAAGACAGAAATTCAGCTCGCATTTAATCATTTGCTTGCCAACAGAATTTGCTGAAAAATGGCGATAAAAACACAAAATCCAAAGCAAAACCTTTCATTCTTGTCTTTACGTCCACGATGAACAATATTTTGTGATTTAAAATTCAATAAAATTGCATGCATTTTGTAATTTTGCTAATGGAGAATATTTATATGTAATCGAATATTTCATATACTCTCTGTTCGGTTAAATAATAATGATAATAATAATAATAATAATAATAATAATAATAATAATAATAATAATAATAATAATAATAATAATAATAATAATAATAATAATAACAACAACAATAATAATAATAATAATAATAATAATAATAATAATAATAATAATAATAATAATAATAATAATAATAATAATAATAATAATAATAATAATAAGTTCAGATATTATAGGATAAAATATTTTGTTGTGAATCAATCAACCAATTGTAAATTCTCGTAAATATCAACTTATATGCAGAAATATAACTCCTTTTATTAATGTGCGAACACCCGTGTAATCATACACATACATGTACGCGCGCACATACATACATACATACATACATACATACATACATACATACATACATACATACATACATACATACATACATACATACATACATACATACATACATACATACATACATACATACATACATACATACATACATACATACACCGTTCCGGTGGCTTAGTGGTTAGAGCATCCGCCTCGGATGCGGGAGGTCGCGGGTTCAAAACCCCGGCAGAGTCATACCAAAGGCTTATGGTTCTAGCAGATGCATTGCTATGAGCTCAGCATTAAGAAGTTAGTGTTAAGACTGGTCAGCCTGGTGTCAGGGTTGTTTTAAAGTTAAGCAGACGAGAGTAAGTAGTAGGAGAAAGTAAGAATCCGAGCTCAACAACCCCTTCCAGACCTCCAAACAAATACAAAATACCTAGGTAACGTAATAGAAAACCTATTGCAATCAATAATTGCGTTAAGAATCCGAGCTCAACAAATACAAAATACCTAGGTAACGTAATAGAACACCTGTTGCAATCAATAATTGCGCTAAGAATCCGAGCTCAACAACCCCTCTAGACCTCCAAACAAATACAATAGAACACCTGTTGCAAAATACCTAGGTAACAGGTAAAATTTAATTACGTGATTTGCTAGAATAAGCAAAATGATATGTCAGACTCAATTTTCCAAATCATTACGATTTAGCAGAGCGTGGCGATTGTGGACTAAATTACGCATTAGAATTCCAGTAAGGTAAGTGGTATTATACCTCATTACCAACTGTTATGTCTCAACTGTAGATATCAAAAATATTTCATTATCATGGTGATAGAGGCTAAACTTTACTTTACCGCTCACATAACGACGGGACTCAAACAAATCTTTTATTTGTGATTTGTTAAGAGGGTATTTTTTGTCGATAAAATACAACTTTGACCGATCAAGATCAATTGTAAGTTTGGTGTATTTTTGCTGACTAATCGGACAGTGAAAGTTGTTAAATTCCGCTAGCAACTTTTGATACAATTGTTCGAGATAATTAAAATACTCGCTGTCATCAGATCTGATGAGCGAAAGTTTTAACTTGTCACGGGTACCACTAAAGCATATGCCTGATGTTTCATTATTAATTTCAACTGTCAATGGTTTGTCGTCCATCATTAGATATTTGATTTTGCTACTGTAGCTATTTGTTACTGTCAAATTTTCAAACATTATTTTTAAAGTTTAGATAAAATATTAGTTTGCAAAGATATGTAAAGTATATCTCTATCATCATGACAATAATCTACCCCATTTTTGCAATAACGTTTATCATCAAAATTGCTCAAACCGCGTTTGATAAGGACATCTGTTTCGAGCTTATGATGATTTGTCCGAATTGACATAGCTCTTATAAAACTAACACCGCCATCAAGCGCATACTTGTAGTCATCAAATTTTATAAACTTTTTAACAAAATCACGAGGCAGACCTTTTGCTTTTTTTGTTATTTTATTATTGTCTAACCATACGGCATACATTATACTACGTAATCCGATAAGTATTTGATAGCGCTCGAGTTCATTTCATCTTTGAACTTACCAATAACCTTTTTATTTGTGTCGTCTGAAATTTACTGTCACGTGGGTAATCAGAAAGATCAAACAGATATCTATTATCATGCATGTCCTGATAGATGTCCTCGCATTCGATTTCATATACGAGCGAATCAGTATCAGTAATCAATATTCTACTCGCCGGCCATTGAGTTTTAACAAATTATAATGAAAATCATACATCAGCTTGATAAATCTAACACTGAAGCTCCAACGTAGATCGGCTTGTTAGTTTTAGATTTGTTTTTCTTCTTTGTATCGCAACAAGATTCTCATTAAATATTTTCATGCTCACAAAATCATCGTCTGACACAAGTTTGTTTCTGCATTGACATCATTGACTAGTTCGTATTTACGCGTTTCCTAATATTCCTCCATCGTCTTACCAAAAACGGAATTGTTCATCAGTTTGAAAAAGTTTTTCTCAAAATCATTTTTTGCCGAAGCTTTTTCCTTGTGGGTTTTTTTGGTTTTAAATTTTAAAACCCTTTCTCATCCACCAAACCTGTTTAAAATTTTTAGTAACGCGAGGGAACTTTTTTTTTAACACGAACCAGCACAAACTCTTTTTTTTAAAGCTTTGTAATGAAAAAACATAATTACTTTTTTATAAGAAAATTTTTAAACTAATTCTTGACCAGGAAAAGGTCCCTTGGGTGAGCAACCTTTTGGGTTTTTTGGGAAAACAAACTAAATCAAAATGACCATGATTCCGCGCAGAAAGGGAAACTTATGTAATTTGTTTTAAAAAGGGAAATCGAGATAAACCTTCAACGAAATATGAAACATCGCGGGTATTTTTTTTTCTGTCCTTAAAATTGATCACCGGGATCCAATGAAAGCCACCAAGAGTTTGGGTTGGGCCCGAAAACCCACAATTTTTTGGGCAATCTAGAAAAAACTTATATTTCAAAGGGAAAGGGTAAAGGATATCCCTCTTTCAAATTTTTGTTGTTTCTTCAGCATATTTCTTCTTTATAAAGCAATCCCGCCTCGGTTTCCTTTTTTGGGATAAAATTAAACAACAACACATCAGAAATTTTCCCAACCCTTTACCTTACTAAATTTTACGGGCATCCCATAAACGGGCCGGGGGAAAAAAAAAACCCCCAAAAGGGACTACCCGAAATTTTTAAAAACTCACTTCTCAAAAACCTTTTTAAAAAAACATCTGCAAATTAATAACACTCATTTTTAAAATACAAATCGTGTAACCCCCAAAAAGTCTCACAATCAAACTTTTTTCCAAATTTTTTTTGTGCAACTTGTACTCATCATCATGATATTTTCTTTTTAAGTTGGAGAAAAATTTTGGTCTTTGCCGGGGTAAAGATTTTTTCATAAATTTTACCCCAATTTCCCCCGAGAAAGGGGTATGGAAAAACTCCTTTTTTAGTTTAAAAAAAAAATTTATCTCCAAAACAGCCCTTTTGGGTTTTTAAATTTACTAAAACCCTTTTTACTAGCTCACCCAAACGATGCTCCCAAAAAAACCGCGGGGCGTCAAAAAAAACAAATTTCCCCTACCCTTTTAAACCTTGCCCATATACTTTTTTTAAAAAAAAAAAAAAAAAATTGGGGGAATGCATTTGATGACATTATTGGTTTTGATGATTTTTAAATCTCAGGATCACCAAAAGTTTCCTACAGAGGTACATCAATCCTCGAAAATTGTGAAGAATAACTGGAAAAAATCGGGAGCGTAAAATTTTTTAAAATTACCGGGTTTAATGAGCCGCCCACGAACGGCCGGCCCAAAGGGCAATGGTCACGTTTTTTTTTGTTGTCGGGGTAAAAAACTTTCACAAAATAACAAATTTTCGCTTGCCGTGAGCAGTTTCCCTTGTTGGGGGGTTTTTAATTTTTAAACTTTGGATTTACTTTTTTAAAAACGAAAAGGAATTATTAAACTTCTTTAATCAACGCTTGGGGAACCCCGACGCTGGTTTTTTACCACGATAGAGTTGGTTTGGGTTTTTAAAAATCCAAAATAAACGCAACAAACAAACCTTGTACGCAAACTCCCAGGGAAACAGGGTTTTTGGAATTTTTTTTGTACTCAAAGGGGTTTGGGATCTTTTTTTCCTACGCCAAGTACAGGTTTTTAAAAGCTTCGAAATCGAGGGAATATGAAAAAAAGGAAATTTTTTAGTTTATGATTATGAGGGACAAACTGTAACACCCCCATTTTTTTTAAATCATTTTTTATTCTTTGTACGCCACTACAGTACTGCAAATGTTTTTGAAATTTTTTTCTTTGTCTCTACAACCGGCAAGCAGGGGTAACAAAAAAACTTTTTGTTTTTTTTAAATTATACTGTTTTCCCAAACTTTCTTTTAAAATTTTTTGAAAAAAAAACGAATGTTTTTTTAAAAACAGTAAATTGATAGTCAATGTAAGCTTTTCGGAAATAACCTGGGAAAACCCTTTTCTTTTTCATCTAACCGAAAACTTTAATCGAAAAAATATTTTGTTTTCAAACTTTGGGAATTTTTTTTTCCCGCCACTGAAAGTCTAAAACCGCACTTTTTTAACTTGACACGTGACTGAATTCTTCCAAAAAGATCACTTTTTTTCCCCGGGAAATACGCGGAAAGGGAACACCCTTGGAAAAAAATTTGTTCGGGGGTTTTAGGGTTTAATTCACCTTTTTTTTTTTTATTTTTGGGCGGGTCGATATACAATTTTCCGGGGTTGCGTCAATTTCATCGTGTGAAAAAAAATTTTCCTTTGATCATTCAAACTTCCAACCCAAAACCAATTTCGTAAATTCTTCTTTTTTTTTCCCAAAATTTCTTGGGGTTTTTTCCATTAGATATACAAAAATCACTACCAATTTAAAACCCCTTTTGTTTTTTGCTTGATTTTGGGGCCCCAAAATTTTCCCTTTTTAGTAGATTCTTCCCGGGCAAAAGTTTTTTGGGAAAATTTTAACGTTAATTCCCACTAAAAAATCTTAGCCCTTTTTTTTCAAGCTCACTTTTAAAAACAGTGTCTTTTGCAGATAAAAAATTTTTGTTTCAGAAAAATTTACTAAAACTTTTTGGGTTTTACCAAACGAAACATTGTCAAAACCTGAAAAGCACGCTTTTTTAACGGGTTTTTTCCAAATAATCCTTTTTGGGTTTTAAAACCCCGCAATTTCAAATTATTTACTTTTTTCAATATCTAATTGAAAATTTTAACTCCGCAAAACAAAAAATAAAGATAAAAAATATCCCCTTTAAATATAATACAGTAAATCTGACAAGCCCGGGTGAGAAAAGGGGAAATTACTTTTTTCCGAAGTAAAACCCTGTACGCAAAAATTTGAAATTTGGGTTTGGGTTTTTAAAATATCAAAACTGGAATTTCTTTTTGGGAAAAGCAAGGGCCAGGGGGTTATACATATTTTAAAGGGGAAAATAAATACTAAAAATTTTTAAACAGGTTTAAAAAAGATTTTTTTTTAACAACGTTATTTTGCGATAACTTCCAAAGGGGGAAAACATTTTAATCATTATAAGGGAAAAAATCCCCCCTGATAAATAATATTAAAAATTTTACCTTTTACAAGATGATTTCAGCCGCACCGGTTTTTGGATTTATACAGGCTAACGATCGGGGGTATTATTAGAAATAAAAAAAAAAAAAAATTTTTCTTATTC